GCACATTTTACACTGTAACCCAGGACACCTCATTATTAGCTTACAGAGTAAGAATGAAAAAGATGTGCTGTTTTCTGGACTTTGCATTTAAAATTTTTGCCACAATATTATACTTCCTAAGTCAAACACTTGGCTTCGTGCAGAGCTGCGGGTACAAGGTGTAACTGTAATTTCAACAGTATTTTTTAATTCATGTTGTACTCACCAAAACTTATCATTGGGGCATATATATTTGTAATATTTCTCCCCTTTGCCCCTACCAGTGTGGAACCTGGAGAGTGGGAGGTGTCTCAGGACTCTGAAGCACAACAGTGCTGTTTGGGTGGTTAAGATGGATGGTACACATGTTGTCAGCGGGTGTGACCGAGGGCTGGTGAAAGTCTGGTGTGCTGATAGGGGCACTCTGGTCAAAGTAAGTTTCTTCTTGCGTGGATAATTTTGTGCTCAATGTTCAAAAATCTTCTGTGTTAGTTTATCATAGCTTTCTGGTTTTGCCGAAGACTTTCTAAAAAAAAAAATCCCCAAAACAAAACCAAAAGCAGTCTAAACTGGTAAAAGAAACCACAGAATTACCTGTAAGCAAAAATTATAAAAATTAATTTGCAAACAACCATCAATTTTAACCCAGGTTCTGATTTGCCTTGCTTAACACCCATCATTACTTGTCCTCTGTAGATACATTCTTCTCTGCTCCTGTAGAAACATTCAGAACCTGGGAAGAGGGTGGGAGGGCTCCACTAACAAGCCAAGCTCTTGGGGCTGGAGGTGTCATGGGTTAGCCTGAAATATGAAACTTGCTCTCAGAACCAGTTTACAAAGGTGAAGCAGCTGGATAGCTGCTCTGCAATGTAAAGATTGAGGCCAGAGTCTGCTAAGCAGGTATCTAAAATCAGTATCAGTCCACATCTCTGAGAGGAGGGAAGCTCTTTCTGCCTGTGAGGAAGAGAGTGGCAAATCGAGATGCATCTCAGATGCAAGAAAGACCAGGTCCAGCTGAGCTAAGTTCGCGATTGGCCCTTCCACCACAGTCAGGACAGTCCACTCTCTTCTCTCCTGGGTGAACATTCAATACAGCACAAAGGTCTCGGTGCAGTAACATCTATTTGGCACATGTAATAAAGGTGGAAAACGGATTTTAATTTCATGCTAGTAGCTTATCACCAGCAACAAGCCCAGAATATTTCCTACGAGTGACTATAAAACTATCACAGTTATCCACAGGGTGTACTGGTGTATTATAATGACACCAAATAAAACTACAATATAGTATATGAGGCTGGTATGGTGAATGCTGTAAGATATCTTGCCGTATTTACATCCAGATTGCTGATGGTGTGGCACCTATTTCTTTTACTTTGCAGACAATAGAGGGGCACCAAGGCCCAGTTAAGTGCTTGTCCTTTGATCAGTGGCATCTAGTCACAGGAAGCACCGACAGATATGTCCTGGGATGGAGCATGTTGGGAAACCTTAAGAGATGCCTAATAGCCTTCCGCCACCCGAAGTAGGAATCCAATGTGTCTCAAGCTGTATTCAACAGTCTACTAAATCTGTAAAGAAAATATTTCCCTTACAGGAACAGAAAATGCCTTAATTATCAGTCCTAGTACTTGAAATATCCTGGCTTTCAACATTCGCCATCTTATAAACTGTGTCAGGTACTACATGGTCACAACCAGTCTCTGTCAGTTAAGACCTATAACAACCTAAAACGCAAATAGACAACCACTTGCTCACAAACAGGGATGACTTAAGACTGACAGTGCATAGTCCAGTATTTCAAGGATCCCAACCAATATGCAACAAGATATCACACTACCTGGTCAAGAATAGACACTGTCTATGTTGGAGGTGGCCGAGTTACACGCTGAACCCTACCAACTGTATGTTATGCCATTTTCTAATACTTTAATTGTATATTAGTACTGTGAAAAGTGTAGCATCATATTGCTTTAATTAACTTTCCTAGACATAAAAATGGAATCTAAAATGCAGCAGATGGCCATAACCATACTGGTTGCTATGAGGATGCACTGGGTTGGTTGGTTTGGACATGGAGTGATTGTGAAGGACTTCACTCTTGGACCTTTAAATCAGCTCCTCTGTTTAGCCTGTTGATGGAAGCAAACCTTTGCACCTCCTCCAGGACAAAAGAGGTAGTCGATTGTGTCTCCTTGTGAATGTACCAACATTTTACGTGTTGTGTTTTCAGGGAAGTTCTGTCTCTGGAGTTCCTCTATCTCAGAGTCATCAGTGGCTGTGCTGACGGAAAGATTCGTATATTTAACTACTTGACTGGAAGCTGCTTGAAAGTGTTGATGGCCAACAGCAGAGGAGACCCCATATCTTCTTTCTATGTTGCAGGAAACAGGTCGGTGACAACAGCTGCCATCAGTCTCTGAACCGAATTAGGTAGATTATATTGTAATTTAAGGAACTGTGTATTTTTCCTTTTACTGTCCTTCTCACAAACAAGTTTTAAAGGGCTCCACTGCTTATTGACTGCTTTAATAATACGGGTTTGTTAACAATGGCTGAAAAGAGATTTTCTTAGTCCACTCAGCAATGTACAAATTCCTTTTTCTATATAGCTTCAGATATAGATCCAACTGTATGGCTGAATTCAGAACCCAAATTTATTAAGAGGTTGGAGAATCAAGCCGAGGCTTGACAAAGCCTTTGCCTGGCCCCTGACCTACTGCTTCTTTATAAAAGCCAATGATGGAAAATACTTCCAGGTTCATTCACTTCTGCACCTCTAACCTAAAGGTAGTTCCCAGGTTCTGTGTAAGCAATAGCTAAACCACCGGTGTGTTATCAAGGCTGTTTTACTCACAATTCTCAAAGACAGCAGTATATGGGCTGCTATGAAGAAAACTAACTCCATCCCAGCCAGACCCAGTACACCCCTCCAATTCAGGTTTCGAAGTCCCTAATGATATGGTATCTCCAGGTTCTTTTGGCATTGCACTGATCTAGCTCAGGCCACTGTTGGCAATTTTCATCCTAACTATTTCAAAACTAATTTTGCTGTAGCACTGAACGCAAAGAGCCCCGTATTGCTCATACAGAGTATGAGTCAAAACGTGCAGCGTCTGATTGCTGGGACTAATTGCTGCTGCTGCCTCCTCAAACAAGTGATGGTTATCTCCGACCTGTTTAAGCGCTCTCGGGTTTTGTGTTGCACAGAAGCGAACGGGCCCCTGCGGTGGGCCCCTGCGGTAGTAACCGCTGTGTTGGTGATACCTGGGCTTTTCCTTCCCTGCGCCAGGATGGTGATCAATTCACCAACCCGCCTGTTGATGTTCCAGTTTGAGGACATCAGGTGGGACTATACCTTAGGTGCTGACAGAGAGATGGTGGGGAAGAAAAACCAGCGCACCGGGACCCCAAGTCAGCGAAGGAAGCGCCACGACCTCCGCCAGCTGCATCGGCTCGCTCCAGAGACACCACACGCTGACCAGCCCAAGCTGTCTCGCTGGACCTGCTGCCGGCCACCGAAAAGCTGTGGAACATCCCAAAGTATTATGTATCGCCTCTTCAATAGGCTGGCGTTTTCTTAAATGAGTTAGAAATCATTTCAAGTACCCGCTGCCTCCATCCTAATCAATATACAGCCTCTCTGCCTTTTTAAAGTGCAGTCTGGTAGACGTGCTGTTGCACTTCAGTAGTTCTGTCATTTCCAGGCTTTCGTAAAACCTTTGTACCTTTTCAGAAAGGTTTGGTATGAATTCAACGCATTTGTCAAGACAGGCGCTGTCATTTTCTAACTGAGTAGCAGAGAAATCAGTAGTATTACTCATATTCTTACAGCTGGCACGCACAGAAACGTGCCGCTGATTCAGTGCTTGGATTATTTATTAGAAAATACCCTAGAATGTCATAGGACACCTGCATTCAGGATCTGCCATCACCGGGCAATGCAACTGCACATAAGCAGGCGCCTTTTAAATTATATGTGATGATTTAGCTTTGGTTTGGTTTTGTTTTGGTTTTTAAATTAGCAGATACTTAATACAGTATGTATCACAAATCTTCCAGCTCTACAATCTCACTGTATATTGCAGATGAACTCATTTTCATGTTTTTAAGGCCATCAGATGGTAACTTCCTTGATGCAGCTCTACTTGGTAAAAGATGTACATTTTGGAGAAGCAGGAAACAAATAGGGAGTGCAATGAATTTTTATTTTAGCGGAAAAAATGTATGGGTTGTGCATACATACTTAATATTTTTTTTTTTTAAATCAACGTTTGCTGTCATCTTTGAATCTGTGAGGTTTTCTGCTAATCAAATATCTTTGAATTATTTCTAATACTTAGACATTTAGAAGCTGTGATGAGGCAAAACAGTAACCAAAGACTTGAAATCCCATCAGTTATGAAAATTTAATCTAATTTAAACAAAAGCTTAACACCAGCAGAGTTGAGAGATGACATTTTCTTCTGTTTTCTAGCGCTCTGCTATGAACCGATGGAATCAGCAGCTTGCCAGCAACAGCAGCATTTTCTCAAGATCAAAAAGCCTTTTCGCACTCAGTCAGAGCAGCAGAAAAAGCTTTTCGTTCCTGGCACCAAACAGCCCCACGCCTTTGCCTCGGGAAAGTCAGCAAGAGCACGTTCTGCGAGAATCCCAGCAGATACTGGTAAGGACTCTTTGCAGCTAGGTAGGACAGGAATTCTTCAAACAAGTGCACCCAAGATAACTGAATGGATTAGACGAAAGGTGAGGCTCTCTAGAAGCCAGGCCCGTTCTGGATGAGAGGTCTGCAGTGGTGAAACATCACTTGCAGAGCCTGTGATGGCTACAGAAGCTGCTTTAGATCACTCAAACAGGACAAGGGCTCAGTTCTAGCTACAAAGCCTAGTTCTCTGGTATCTAGGGGGTTTTTTACTGTATCCTTAGCCTCTTTTTTGATTTCTTTAACAGGTGTAGAACTGTGCACAAAATTTATTCACATAGTTGGTATTTAATCAATAGCAGTAACTCAGAGAATTGTTTTAAAAAAATGGACTGTAAATTGTCTCAGCCAGCAACAACGTGGCAACCTGAAACTTGAAAATGAGATAGCGCCAAGATGACAAACACGGCCTGTGGCCAGATGGCATTTGTTTCAAGTTAATTTTTCTCAGGTTTTATATTCGGAATTTTGGGATCTCAAACTTTAAGACGTACACTGACACCTTACTTCAGAAGAGCTGTACCAAGTGATAGTCTCTAACCCCAAACTCCTGGTGTTTGTAACTAAGACACGGGGTCCTAAGTATGTGCAGATAAACAGTTCTAAATTCTGAGAACGAGGAACAAGCAGTAATTTTCATTAGTTTGTTTTGCTGTGCTCTGCCTTTCTGCACTGTAAGTTAATGTTCTCTGAAAGAGATTTCCAGAGGGCAGAAGTTTCAGTTAACCGGTCTGGAAAAGCAGAATTGTACTGCACAGCAATGGTCACAAACAACATGACATTGCAAAGCGAAGTGACAAATGAATCGCTCTGGCAAGGCCATGGGACTGAGCATCTGACGTAGTCTGTGTCATAATCCCCATCTAGTTCTTAGTCAAGGGCATAATCACACGATCCATCTTGATGTGTCTGTCCTACAGCACGGGTCACTCCATACATCCCCTGAGGCAGCAAAGCTGGGCTGCGAAGCATGTCTTGCGATTTCCAGTTCAAATGCTGCTCTGAGCGGTAATGGTTCAAAGTGGGGTTTGGCTACTTCAAAGATTTCTACCAGGAACTGACTTGCCTTGAAGCCTTTTTGCAATGCACAAGCCGTAGTACAAGAAAGGGGTGCATGGGAAGAGGGAGTGGGGAACCTCGTTCCTTTCGGAAACCATGGTTTCAAACAAGGTGGGTGGATACCAAGTCATCCCCACACAAATACAACATTACAGAATCTGACTGTAGTTTGTCCTGGACAGGCTATGGAAGGAACACTTCTCAGTCCACCAGGACAGAGTGAGTTAGCTCTGATGCTGGCAGCGTCACTAGTGAGGCTAAGGATGAGCAAACTGAAATAGGCACCAGTGGCTTGTAGCTTCCTACGCTGCCTCTTCGGGAGATAAACTTGGACTGTTCCTACGCCTGTCAATCCGGCACCCATCCTTGGTCTCACTCGGAGTACTACCTGGCCAACAACGATCACAAAAACTATCCTCGACTTCAACTGTATTTTCTTTTTGGAAACAGGTGGCAAATCCAAACACGGCCCTTCCCTCTGTGCACCCGCACATACTGACAGGGCAAAAGCCACTTGGCAGCATGAAAGGAGAAGAGGTCCAAGTCGTCCAATGTCCCCTGACAAGTTCCTCTTAACTGTCAGCATGCTGCAGAACGCCAGCAAGGCAGTCCCAGTCAGCTCCAGTATGAAGCACACTGCAGAAGTCAGGGAAGCATGGGAACCTCCATGGGAATATCAGCAACCCCATCCTGAAAAGATACAACTATACAAAACCCCTCTGCAGCACAAAAAGGATCAGACAGTCCAGCTCCAACGTGCAAGATTGCACAGTGATTCGCTGACCATGAAAAAAATTTCTATACCCTTTGAAACCAAAATGCTGCATCTCAAGCTGAAAAACTCCTTGCATGGACCCACTGTGAATTCCTCCATCCCTGCTCCCTCCATTGTACGTCCCAAGACAAGCTGTCGTTTGCTGCGAGAAAAGAAAGCTCACAGTGGTCACAATAAAGTCATTCCTCTCCCTGAAGATGGAGTTCATCTTATCGATCCCTTTCCAGCTGTTTCTGAACTGATCAAATCAACACGTGTCATGATTGCACAAATGGAAACCAAAGTAATTTCCAGGAGAAAAAAGCCCTTTTGTCCATATGCTGTAGACCCTGCCCAGAGTGACAGTGGGTTCAGGCTTCTGACAGGAAAACAGAAGGAGGCGTACGAGGCAGCTGCTGTAGCTCAGTGTCAGGCACAGCAGGCAAAGCTCGCAGAGGATCAGCAAAGAGCATGCAGGAAGGCCTGGTTAAGGAAAATGAAAGGCCTACCTACAGACTCTTCTGCTGAGGAGGGGAAAACAGCCGCTCCTGAACTTGGGCTTAATACATTTATCTGAGGTAATCCCTCAGTCCAACAACCAACCAGTGCCTGAGGATTCTGGCATCCAGCTGAGCCCGCCATGTCAAGATCCCTGTGGTTTCTAAGTACAAAAGACATCTCCGCTGTAAGTTTTTCTAAGAGATATTTATTGGCATATTCAGCCATTCCTCAAGGCAGTGAATGGACTGAGACCCCGCCTGGATTTATCTTGCTAGACCTGCTGTTAGTACAGACACAGCACTGCTTGATGCTAATACAGCTCAACATACGGCTCAACTGTGTGTGAATAATGAAACATTTAAAAAAATCTTATTAGAGTTTGCATAGATTGATTAGAGTTTATGAGCTGAAAGTATGGACTGAAAATTGACTGAGCATCTGAGCCCAGAGCGTGGTGATCAGTCGCAGGAAGTCTCGTTGGAGGCCAGTAACTAGCGGTGTAGCCCACGGGTCAATACTGGGTCTGATCTTGTTTAACATCGTCATTAATTAATGACCTGGAGGATGGGGCAGGGTGCACCCTCAGCGAGCTGGCAGATGTCACCGAACTGGGAGGTCGTGCTGCCACCCAGAGGGACCTGGACAGGCTGGAGAAACGGGCTGAGAGAGACCTGGGGCAGTTCAGCCAGGGGAAGTGCCCCGTCCTGCCCCTGGGGAGGAACAGCCCCAGGCACCAGGACATGCTGGGGCCACCCAGCTGGAAAGCAGCTTAAAAGTTAATTTGTATTAAATAAAAAAGCAAAGGTAATGGTTTCTATTTCTCTGCTTTTGTGGATAAACATGCTTAATTTCCATTAACGCTCAGGACCTAGATTGGCTTGAGCTGGGAAGACAAAAACCTGTCTAGTTGCCCAGCTTTGAGTACCTGGGCCAGTGTACCAGAAATATCTCCATTATTTTCTTGCATTAGAGGCTTGAGGCAGGACACTGCTGCCCATGGTCACATCAAAGGTCATTTCAGCAGCAGTTTTGGTTAGAGTAGGGTGATGAGTAGGTTTGGTTTGTTTATTTTAACGTCATCTTCAACTTCCAAACCCTGTGATTAAGCCAGACCTTGCTAACAGTGAAAAATAACAGTATTGTACCCCAAAGAGCAATAACAAGGAGGTAATAAAAACTAAGCATCCATGTAAAACTATGAGGAAGCCAGAAACTGGTGAAGATGTAGGAGCTGGACTGTTGTAGCTCAGATTTGCTGCCGAAAGGCCGTGCAGACTGGGGATGAGCGCGGGCGGGAGGCTGGCAGCTGGCCTTATTGCAGCACGTCCGTGCTGGGGGACAGGGTTTATCGCTGCGTTGGGTGGCTCTGCCTGCAGTTTTCAGCCACGAAGCAGCAAGGATTTCACACTTAGCCACGGGATGGCACTTTCTCACAAGAAATCAGGCACCAGCCCAGCACAGCTGCAGCCAGAGGCCCTTCGGCACAACCCCCCTGGAAAAAAAAGCATTTAATAGAGGAAGCCTGGTGGAAAAACATCACGGAAAGGCTGACGCCTTTTCGGTCAAGCCGAAGTGAGGAGGATTAGAGTGTTGTCTTCCCGCTTGGAGCCAATGAATCAGCATCTCCCTGCAGGTGTGGGTGCTGAGGCACTCGCAGGATACTACAGCCAAGAGAGGTGGTGTGAAATTACCCGCAAAGGCAGAGCTGGACCAAGTCCTTCTGTGATCGGCTTTAGTTCAGATGCAAAGCTGGGAGCTGGGCGTCAGAGATGCACTGGAAGGGAATTAACGTATGGGAAGACATCATACACGGTACAGGAAGTCCCCTGTGAAGGTAAGGAGGTTGTTGTACTATCTCAACAGCTCACCTCTGACTTAAATCGACCTTTCTGTGCCCTCGGCCTTCGGGCATGCAGGGGTGACAACATGGGGGTGCTGCGGGCAGCACTGGTGGTGTGCAGGACGCGATGCACCCGCAAGCAGAGACAAAGCCAGACAGAATGGGGGCAAGAGAGTTTCGATAGAGTTTTCCTGTAACTAGGTGCCATTAGTGCTGTACTTGTGTCATCCACAAAGCATAGATAATATTATCCTGACCTGATGATACCGTACTGAAGTCACAGCGATTTTGTCTGTATAGCTCGACAGGCGTTTCGGAACAAAATATGTTTTTACCCGAGCGTTGGTTTTAACTAAAGCATCTGTATTTCAGCAGCAGAATGGAGCCTGACGCTTCACACAGCGAATAGAAAACGAGCAAGACAGTATTAAAAAAAGGCAACAGCAAAGACATAAAAAGTAAATTAAGTTTTTATGTAGTGGCGTATTTATCAGTAACAACTTTGGATTGCCTGTGAAGTGGCGTGCTGACTCAACTGAGCACGTAAAATGCACTTGTTAGCCAGGCAAGCAAAATGGACTGTTTCATATTGTCTTTATGTAGATATGAAAACAAAGCTGTATGGCGGGATCGCACACCACGAGAGTAGATCGTGCGTATCAGACTGAAGATAGCAACAATTCTAATAACTCCGTATCTGCCCTTTCTAAATTAAAAAAATAAAAAAAAAACCCCAAAATTAAAGATGTGTGAGAAAGACCATTAACCAGCCAGGTGTTTACATGATGAACATTAAGTCTTCTGACTCGCTGCATAATTCGCTTATTTCTATGGTGCCTCTCTGCTGTGGTTTTTCAGGTGTTGTACAGAAATAACTTAATTCGAACCCAGTACAGTCTTTGAGAAAGTCACCAGCAGGAGGGCTGTATCACTTGCGGCCCTAAGGGTACCAGAGGTCTTTATTGGGGCATTAACCCTGGAGCACGGGTGAATCTGAGCCCGGGGTCACAGTCTGTGTGTCTGGGGATTTCCCGTGTGGCCGCAGCTCCATGCCTTGATCCTCCCCCCCGATGGCTCTAACTGGGGGGTCTGGGCCCCCAGCTGCCCTTTGGGGACAGCGTACACCAGAGCCTGATGCTTCGCTGCCCCCCAGCAGGTAACTGGGTGGTGGGTGGGAGTGCCCAAAGGCCCGAAGGCAGCTTTGTCCAGCACCAATGCCTGAACAAGGCGAAAGCAGCAGAGACCTGCTCCCCGGAGTGGAGTGTGTCCTGTCCCCAGTATCGAACAGCACCTTGGGGCCACCTGGGAGGAAAGGCTGGGAGTGAAAATGCTGTACTGGTCACAAAATAATACAGCACAAAGTACTATTAGTTGGGGTTTTTTTGGTTTATCTGCAAAGCAAATGTTCGGCTATATGCTTTTAAAAAAAAAAGAGAGAAAAAAAAAAACCTCCAAACAGATGACTCTTTCCTTTAGAGGTTTTTCAGTAGAATTTTTGGTTGACTTTTTTTTTGGTTTGTTTTACTTTTTGATAGCTTAATGCAAAGGTTAGGTGCTGCTGCTGCACACCTTCAGGCATCCCAATAGATTTCCATTGCTCCAACAGTAACAACATTAACTGTGTTGCAGCAACACCGATAGCAATTTCTGTAACATCTCTTACGCCGCGTCACAACCAGGTTTTAGATTTTTTGCAAAGAAACCACGGGGAAGATTGTCCCAGGAGAATGCACCGTTGGTACCAGCACTTCGTGTGCTTCCACGTTATTGCTTTAGATGATGATCGTTTTAACTAACAGCTAGGGACTGTTGCTATCCACACACACTAGCGCTAAAGGAGAGCTCACACGGGTGCCCCTTGCTTGCTCTCCCACCAGCGTGTGGGGATGTGAAGCAGATGAGGTACCAGCACAGCTCCAAGTACTCCTGTGTCAGCCCAATTGGAGACTTTTTTTGTCCCTAAAAAGCTCTGGATTTCTACATCTTCGCTTTGATGTGTGACTTGCTACAGAGGTCATAGCCTTACAGGTCTGAAATCTCTTTTAAGGCATATGGATACGCCAAAGGATGAGCTAGTCCCCAAGGTAACCAAAACTGAGCTACACATGTAGTTGTTCAAGAACAGCTGCCAGCTCTGCCCAGAAAGCAGTTACAGCTTGGTAAGAGTGACCCAGAAAGGGAAAGACACTTTTTGCATCAAACAGGATCCAGTCATGATCCTTCAAATAGGCGGCAGATAATAAAACAATGCTGTGCCTCCTTGCAAGGCCACCTCTTTGTTCCTTTGCGCTTCCCAAAACAGATGGCAGAATGACTGGAAGGAGTAACTGTATAGTTAACGCTGCCGTCTTCCTTTACAAATGAAGCAGGAATTTACTCATTTCTTCCCTAATGTTTTCTGACTAAATTGTTCATCTACAAAAATTGTCCGGCAGCGCGTTTCAGATGAGCTGTTTGCAGATGGTCTCCTTGGCATGTGAGCGAGCTCGCAGCTGCTGACAGACCCTCGGGTTTTTGCCCCTCGTGTATGCTCACACCGACAGCTGTAACGAGCGGTTTTAAAATCAGGGCACTGTCAACCTGCACTTTTTTTTCCTGCAAGCTCTGTGCCTTTCTGTGGACTTGGTAAAAATCGAAGCTTAAATCTTCCCCCTTCTTTTCAGTGTAGCTGCTCAGTCTTTCCTTACGTTCCTTATGATAAGGGGACTGGAGCATCTCTCTGACGAGGAGAGGCTGAGACCTGGGGCTCTTTAGCCTGGAGAAGAGAAGACTGAGAGGGGACCTTACGATACTTATAAATACCTAAAGGGTGGGTGTCAAGGGGACGGGGCCAGGCTCTTTTCAGTGGTGCCCAGTGACAGGACAAGGGGCAACGGGCACAAACTGGAGCACGGGCAGTTCTGCCTCAACATGAGGAAAAACTTCTTTACATTAAGGGTGACAGAGCACTGGAACAGGCTGTCCAGGGGGGTTGTGGAGTCTCCTTCCCTGGAGACATTCAAAACCCGCCTGGACGCAGTTTTGTGTGACCTGCTCTAAGGTAACCTGCTTTAGCAAGGGGGGGTTGGACTAGGTGATCCCCAGAGGTCCCTTCCAGCTCCTACCAGCCTGTGATTCTGTTCTAAAAATACTGATCTGAGCGTGTTACTCTATTTTGACCTTTTTCTATCAGGTTTTCTAGACATCCAGCTGTTTGGGAGGGTTTTGACCTGTGCCAGGAGCAGAGGTTTGTATCG